ATGACTGGGAAGGTCTGATCTTAGAGATGGCCTTGGAACTGAGAATCAGCGTAGAATGAAGGCAGCCAGGCAAATGGGGAGAGCACTTCAAAGAGAGGACCATGCCCATGTTGTGCGGGTAGGGCAAAAGGGTCCCAGTAGCAGAGCAAGAACTTTGGGGCTGCAGTGAGATGCAGCCCCAGTGAGGTGAGGTTGGAGAGGTAGGAAGGAGCCAGGCCAGCCAGGGCCTTTTGGTTCACTTAGATGGAAGTCCATTCTCCACGTGGAGGAATTGGTCTCTACCCTCCTGAGAGACTTCAGGATTATGAGTGTCTGATGGATGCAGTAAATTCAGAGTAGAACTTATTCCTTTCCTTGGTTTTAGTGTCTCTTGGTTATCAAGGGACCATGAGTTAGGCACTGTATAAATCATGCTTTTGTTTTTGTTTTTCTAATTCTGACGTTTTGTCATCTGGGGTCTTATTGACTCTGGAGAGATGGTTCTTCCCAGGGTTAGCTTGCAAAGTTATGTGGACCAGTAAAATCACAGCCTCCTTTATCAGGAGCCACTGTTTCTCTGGGCCACTGTTCCCTTGCCCCAGGTACCCCAAGGCTAGGTACCAGACAATTCAGGGCAGCCCTCAGACCCCAGAGCTTGCTGAAATTATCCAACATACCAAGCCCCAAGCCCACCCACCCTGTCATGTCCGCTCCTTGTCAGTGAAGGCTCTTGCCCACGTTGCCCTCACTCCACCTCCTGACCAAGACTGGTTCTTCCCCACATGATTCTGCATGGCACACAGTGTCCCCTGCCCTTGGTAACAAACTATGATTACAAAAGTACTTGCCTCCTATCAGATGACCTTCCCATATCTACATTTACCAAACCTACATTTTAAACAGACCCACCCGGTCTGTCAAGGCCACCACGTCCTACCTCCAGATGGTGATGGCCAGGGTGCACAGCACTCCGGTGAAGGACGGGAAAAAGAGCAAGAAGATGAAGACCGTGATCATCTGCGAGGCCCGCCAGGCTTTGCTTGGAGGCTGGAAGTTCATCATCAGGCTGATCTGAGGGGAAAGATATGGTATCCTCCCATCCGTGCCAGAGGAACACCCAGAGGAAACCTCCAGGTGCTGGCTTCTGGGTCCCCTCCCGATGCCCCTCCCTAGCTCCAACTGCCACCAGATCCCATGAGACCGAGAGAAGCTGACCAGTTCCAATTTGGGACTAACTCACATTTTTTACATAAAACATGATGAAGAGAGCAATCATTTGGATCAAGGGCAGCAGAGGGCAGAAGAAGATCCCAATCCTGTGAGGAAAAGATGATGAGTGTTAGAGATCAGGGGAGACATGAGGAGTAGGGGGGTGGGGGATGGTAGAGGAAGGAAGAGAGGGTCGAATTGTGTCCCCTAAAAGTCATATGGTGGGCCCGGGGATGTAGCTCAGTGGCATAGCACCTGCTTGGCAAGCGCGAGGTCATGAGTTTAATTTCCAGTATGAAAGAAAGAAAGAGAAAGAAAGAAAGAAAGAAAGAAAGAAAGAAAGAAAGAAAGAAAGAAAGAAAAGAAAGAAAGGAAAGAGAAAGAAGAAAGAAAGAAAGAAAGGAAAAGAAAAGTCATATGGTGAAGTCCTACCTCCTGGCACTTCAGATTGTGACTGTACATTTGGAGATGGGGGCTTTAAAGCAGTAATTAAGTTAAATGAAGTTAAATGAGGTTACTGTGGTGGGGCCTAATTCAACATAACTGGTGCCCCTAGAAGAAGAGATTAGCACATAATCGCATGAGGGATGAACGTGTGAAGACATAGGGAGGAGACAGCTGCCTACTAGCAAGGAGAGAGGTCTGGGACTGATCCCTCCCTCTTGGCCCTGAGAAGAAACCCTGCCACACCTTGATCCTGGACTTCTGGCCTCTTGAACTAGTAAAACAAATTTCCATGGCTGACGTTGCCCAGACTGCAGTACGTTGTTCTGGCAGCCCCAACAGATGGGCACATAGGGAGATGGCTCGCACACAGCCGACCTAACCAGTTCCCCATACCAGCATCCACAGCTGCTCTCCACACAGCTCTTGAAGGGAGAACTTGCCACACAGCCACTAAACCACCACGGCCTTCAGCATGCCGGAAGGTGTTATGGAAGGTCTTGGATCCCCCCAGAAAGTACCCCAAGTTACAGATAAGAAGGGCTTCACTTTCCAAATTCTCTGCGATCTTCTGAGGGAGATCTCAGTTTTGTGCTAAAATGGCTTTAACTCCCAGCTCTTGCCAGCCCTCTCTTTTTCTAAAAAGTTTCTAAAGTCAAAACTGAGAGCATTAGCAGAGAGCAGTACCTAGATAGAATTTAAGGACCATGTAGGACAGGATTGCTTTTATTTTTCCAGTTACTTGTGAGTTCTTGTGATTTAAATGGTTCTACATTATGATCATAAAATAAAGGTGCCTTTGAAAATGTATTTGAGGGGCTGGGGATTTAGCTCAGCGGCAAGAGCACCTGCCTGGCAAGCGCAAGGT